GTCACAGTGTGAACACTTGTAAGGTTTTTCTCCAGTGTGAATCATCTCATGCCGTTTTAAACAGTTTGCTCTAGTAAAAGTCTTTTCACACTCAAAGCACATGTACTCTCTCACAGCAGTATGTGTTTTCTGATGTACTTTCAAACTTTGTAGGCATAGAAAACTCTTTCCACACAAATAACATAAATGTGGCTTCTCCTTTGTATGAACATTCATGTGCTGCTTTAGGACTGAAGCCCTAAAAAACATTTTGCTGCATTGATCACATGTGTAAAGTTTCTCTCTAATGTGGATCTTCATGTGTATCTTAAGGTTTGATGAGTGTGAGAAACTCTTCCCGCACTGATCACAAGTGAATGGCTTCTCTCCAGTATGAACTCTCATATGCTCTGTAAGGTGTCCTTTTATTGTGAAACTCTTCCCGCACTGATCACATGTGTACGGTTTCTCTCCAGTGTGGATCCTCTCATGTCTTTTCAGATTTGCTGAATAACTGAATCTCTTGTCACAGTGTGAACACTTGTGTGGTTTCTCTCCAGTGTGAATGTTTATGTGATCTTTGAGGTGTGATGATCGTGAGAAACTCTTCCCGCACTGATCACATGTGAACGGTTTCTCTCCAGTATGAACTCTCATGTGAAGCACAAGATGATGTTTGAATGAGAAACTCTTTCCACACTGAGTGCAGGTGAAAGATTTATTGGCTCTCATTTTCTTTAAATATTTCTGTTTAGTTTGAGAGCAACTCAAGGGTTTTTCTCGAGTTTTGACGTGATTTTTCTCCTCAACTTCACTCAGTTCTTCATTCTCCTTGTTTTTTTCAATCATCTCTGAAATAAAAGAATGGTTTATTTAAACAAACCACTGATTAAACCTGATTGGTTCCAGAGCCATTGAACAGCTCTGATTGGTTCGTATGATAATGAGCTCACCCCAGAGAGCTTCGCATGCTCACACCAGTCTGCAGACATTTCAGATCCTGCAAAGATGCACAAATATAATACAAAAGCAGTCATTTTAACAGCACAATGTCATTTGATTTCTGTATTAGAAGAAACAGAATGATCTTATTTATATTTTTGTTTCAGGTTTTCCCTTTTTTTTCCCCACAAATGCCGCCATCACCTTTCCTTGCAGGTCCTGTTCCACCACAAAAGATCTGCAGCAAATGCACAGAAATCAAGAATCTGTCAGGGGTGCTGTAAAGGATCCACGTGCAAAGGCAGTCCGTTAGAATCAGTCTCTTTATTGAAGACACAAAACAAGGCAGTCTGTCGTACGATGACACAGAACTGGATGAAACTCAATGAAACACAAAACGACCGGGGATGGTCTGGTTCCGAGGACTCCCGTCTTGGAGAGAGCTTGTATGGGCTGGGCTCACTGGAAGCAGCCACCGGGCACCAAGAACACTAAGACGAGCACAGCACACTAAGCAAGACAAGACATGGTCAGAACTCCACACAATACCGTATGCATGTCACACAATAATCCGACAGAGAACAGTGAGCCCAACCACTAGAAATAGAGTGACTAATAGATCAGAGTGGAAACAGGTGTCCCCACAAAGCAGCACACACGCTGATTGTGATGACAAACAGGTGGAGATGAGAGCTAGAATGAGCATGGGTGTGCCTGAGTGTGTGTGTGTGCATGATAGAGTATGTATGTGTGTGTGTGTGTGTGTGTATATATCTATGTGTGTGAGAGAGAGAAACGGAGAAGCAAACCCAGCTCATGACAGAATCAGAAAAGTGCTGTGATATCTCTGTTTGAAATTCATTTCTGTAGTATACTCACTCAAAGCCTTTGATGGCAGCATTGCTTCATTAGGCGCTCTCCACCGTATAAGCAGACGTGTGTCTCATCTGTCCCTGTAACATCCAGACAAGAGTCAAGTCACCTCTGAGATTTGTGTGCTCAAAAGTATTAAGTAGTGTTAAGTAGCTTTTTGTCCAACACAAATGTTCCTCAATTTTTCAACAGTACTAATGGACAAATACAATAGATTACTTATATTTAGTTACTTTATGGAAATGTATTTACATTACTGACATTCATTTATTGCAAACAGTGCTGACAACCGTGAATTGTACTAAACATTAACACACATATACATCACTCAGATGTCTACTTCATATCTAGGACCTATTACACATACTTTTATGTAATTCATATCGATGATTTTCCTACCAGATATTAAATAGACATTTAGTAATC